AAAGTGGGTTAATGTGGGGCCTGATTATTTGAACCTTCCATTGAAATTGGTAGCGTCCAGGTTGTATTACTTTTACAGTAATCGTGGATGTGTAATATGCTTTTCAGTAATAGAGGACATTCCTTTAAATATACATATGGTGGTTGTGTTAGATTTGTTTTAGTTACAAATATTAGTTTATCTCAGTTGGTGTTAAATTGTGAACTAATTTTATTGCATGGAATTTTATAACTTGTGTTTTTTTCTTTTGATTTATACTGCGCCTTGGCAAAAGTGTGCCATCACCACCTCCTTTTCTTTTTTTTTCCTGGAATGTTTTTCTTTATTGCAAGAATAATTTCGGGCCACTTTAAAATGTGCATCTGTACAGTAGATGGCACTATGGTACAATATATTTACAAGCATATTATTCTGAGATGAAAAGGATCTAGGATCCATTTCTGAAGATATTTTTTCCATCTAGTTTGGAGTTGAGTGTTTGTAACATATCCGTAAATGCAATATTTCCTTCCTTCTAAAGTCTAACTTGCAAAACAATAAAAATGAGATTGAAGACTGACATTTTCTTTTCCTATACAGTTGGACTGAAAAGTTTTTAAAATAACATTTCACTATTTTAGTGAGTCCACAAAAAGATCCTATAAGAACTTCTGAAGTGCATGTGCACCTATTGTGATCCCAGATGGGCACAGTTCATCTTAAAAAGTTGAAAACAGCTTCATTCCCAGAGAGTTTCCTCTTGCTTCAGGTGTGCCAGTTGCACATTTTGTGTTCCGATCATTCTAATGTGATTTTACAGAAGAGTAAATAATGAGCCATAGAGGAATAAGGACAGTTTAAAAGTATCAACAATAGTTTAAATTAGGGCATTTCTAACTTGTAAAAATGCAGCTGGACTGTGCTTAGGCGGTGAGACTTTTTTTATGACAGTAGCTGCAGAAAAAAGCAGGACACATGGTATTTATACTTCTCCTGATTCAGAGCCTCCAATTTTATTCTCTCTTGCTGTCCTATAATTTAAAAAATCACCCCTTCTGGATTTGACTCAGCAGCAGGTTTATTTTTGAGTATTTGGAAGGCTGATAATAGGATCATGTCACAGCCTTTTCACCATTAGGTCACACTGTAAAAATACACCCATTTGGCATTGCGTTCTGCAAAGAGTCAAAATGACCAGTTGTTGAGGAGTGGGAGGAAAACGTTATTTGGAAAGTGAGAGCTCTAATGTTTCTGAAATGAATGTCACAATAAGTGTTAAGAGCAGCACTACATTCCAGATTAAAGTATTTGTGTGTGTTACTGAGCTGCAAATTAATCCAAATGGTTTCACACAGTGATCCTGTTAGGATACAGTATATTTAAGCCTCCAGTGAAACAGTTTTGCTAAAACAACTTTTCAGTATTCCTGGTGTAATAGAAACTGATTACACAACAGCCATTTTCCTAAGTGTCAGTAAATATATATATATATCTAACACGAAAAAGACTAGCATTGTTCCATAATGAATTAATTTATTTAGCCCATCTTTTGTTGCATCAAACTGTATAAGAACTCACTCTCATTTAGCTCCTCCTGCCAGCAGGAGTGACTGCGCGATGCAAGGCAGGGGCCTCCTAAGATCTGTTGACTGTGACCAAAAACTCTGTTCATCCTTCTCAGCCAAGAATCTGAAATTAAGAGCAAACTGTAGCTCCTTTCTCTTGCTTGTTTGGAAGAGAACAACCAAGAGAAAGGAGCAAGACTTCCTAATCTGACATTAGGAATGACATTAGCAGTTGCCTTTCTTCACTGCTTTTACTGAGAGGAAGAACTCAATGGAATAGTTCAACAGTTGCATCTTATACATGTGATCAAATGCCATGTGACATGATCCTGTTATCAGCCCTCCAAATATCTTGGAGTTTACATTATTATTTAATCATTCATAGGCCTCTTTTCTAGCAGTGAACAATATAATTCCAGACTATTTTCCAGGAATGGATTGGGAAGGCCTTCCAGATGTATTGGACTTTAACTGACACCTTTCAATATGACCAGTTGGAATGACAGAAATTGTATCCTAACATACCAAGAAGGCCCAGCTTGGTGAAGTTTCTTTACTCAGCCAACTAACAGAATTTCCCATCCTTTCAGTAAATAAATTTAAGGGTTAGATTATTACCAAAACCAGATTTTTTTTTTTACATAGAGAGTATCAATTAAATAAAGGTTAAAACAAGATAAATATTTATAGTTATTTTATAACTGGCTGCAAGTATTCATTTCTTTTTAAAAATATTGTAGTTTAGAAATAAAGCATCAACCCTTCACATCTCAGAGATGTCACTGAGTTTAATAGAGGTTATTGTTAAGTAAAGAGACAGTAGTTAGAACTATGATTGATGATGATACGGTGAATATTAAAGAGGACTTTAGATTTAGATTTTTAATATTGCTGCTGTAACAAACCTTTGTGCAACCAGGGGGTCTTTCTATTTCTGAATTGCTCACATACACCATTTCTTCTTCCCAATTCCACATAAAACAGTTGAAAACCAACTTGCAATCATCTTCAGGTTGTCTTTGTAGGTATCTTTGTAGGTATCTACACTTGCAAATCTAGTGCTTACAGAGAATAGCATGAGCCAATTAGTGCTCATCTTGTGTCTCTTTGGCCAGTCAGTAAGTTACTGCAACCACCCCCTTCCCCCTTCATGTTTTTATGTATTTCTCTACTAGTTTGTGAAAAAATAATCTGAGAGATAGCTGTATGGGAAAGCTATGCAAGGTAGATTTTAAAAATATAGATAAACCCACTGAAATCTGCCAAAATATCTTGCTTCCCTGGCACCAATTCACCTTTGCTTTTTTATTTTTTTAAAAAAATGGAATAATAGTATGTTGCAATTTTGCTTTGTGTGTGGGGTTTTTTTTTTTTTTCTCAGTACTTCTGAGGATAGTTGCATATATGAATGAAGGGCAAATAGATGTGGGGAGTAGAAAAGTAAAGAAAGCTCCAATCTAAATAATGCTTATGCCAAGCAAGCAGAGGGAACAGGAAGCTGAACCGTTGGGTGAGGAGAGAGGATGAAGCTTCACTGTAGGCTGCTGAGATATGGCTGACTTGAGTTTCAGAGCAGAGCATTTCCTCCTATGGCAGAAAGGATTGCTGAAACATAGCAGGAGCTTCCTGGAAAAGTAAGC